TTGGCAACCCTGCATCCAACAAGAGCTACCGGAGTCAGCTTTGACTGATCACAGGTCGAGAATAAGGAGAGATGACTGACAAGACCATGCTGGAGTATTTGCTGCTCAACAGATCCTGAGCTCACTGACAAATATCTGATCTTGTAAGATGTGCTCCCTTTACACAGAGTGTGTGTGATCGCGAAATCGAAAGTGAACAGCGCGAATGCTCATTCAAAAGAGATTTAAATACTCTGCATACTTAGAGCGGCTCCTTGATGCGACAAAATTATACACAATACTAGAATGTTTAAAGGAGTGCACACGAAAATCGCGGGAGCAAAACACATATTGCGGGAGCAGGCGGCAATGGTCAGAAATTCAGCGGGAACGGGATAAAGAAAACAGCCGAATCCCGGACATTTTGGGCGAATAAGAAATCCCGGCCGGACCCATTTTTTTAGGTCCAAAAAGAGGACATGTCCGGGGAAAAGAGGACGTATGGTCACCCTATACTATGCTATATGTCCACAAAACCACAATGGTGATCACTCTCTCTGCAATACAATATTTTTACTGTGTTTTTGTTCTGCAGTTCTCACACAGTCAGACCAGAATTTTTTTCTCCACCTTTTTGGCCATTTTGTTGTTTTGCATATGTGTTTTTAATGACAATTCAGTATTAAAGACACCATTAATCTTTTTTTATGTTCATGAAGGTAGGTCCCCCTGGTTCATCTCAACTCTTTTTCTCAGTAGGAAAAAGTGATTGTCACACCATTTCATTAGTCTTTTTTAGAACACATTAGAAATATTTTATAATGGTTTTAACTACACAGTTAATCAATAACATGGGGACAGCTGTTACAGAGGAGAACTGGCTCCCCGACTGAGCCTGGTTTCTCCCAAGGTTTTTTTTTCTTTTCTCCATTTCTGTCACAGATGGAGTTTTGGTTCCATACTGTCGCCTTTGGCTTGCTTAGTTGGGGACGCTGGCAATATTGTTGACTTGACTGCACAGACCGACTGTTTTCTATTGTCCTCTTGCATTATCAGCTCAAGTTTTTTCCTGTTTAACACTGTAAGGCTGCTTTGACACAATCTGTATTGGATAAAGAGCTAATAATAATAATAATAATGTTTCAAATATAAATCCAGTCCAATCTTATCAGTGGCACGACAGACTGAGCTAAATCGCCATAATTTGTTTATTTATAGAATATTTTCACATTTCCAAAAGGATTCCCCAAAACCAGGTTTGTTGTTGATATCTAACGTTTGTGTAACAGCATGTGGTGACGGTGGACAGCAGTTTTTACGTCAGAGTGTTTTATAACCGCTCCTTCATTCTCCATTACTATTTTTTACGCAATCATGGCAATACAGAGAAAAGGAGGCCTCTTGTTCTGTGGGCTGTACTAATGGCGTATTAAAGGGCTGCTACGGCCCCGGCAGCAGCCGTTCAGATCGGAGGGTGATGATTAGCCTGACTTTTTAAAGCTGTGCGCCATATACAAAAGAGCCTCTGTATTTCGGAAGCAGGGTATGTGAACCCCACCACAATGGCCCATATTAACCATGTCTGCTGTCAGAGCAAATTCTTCAACAATAAATTCTGAGCATTTAAAGTGGTGCACTAGAAGCCAAATAATAAAGCAGTGAACCACTTGAGGCTGTGTGTTACGGTTACGGTGATTTTATCACAGGTAAAGGTGTTTGTTAGACATAAGTGTGATAATATCACTGTAATGTGTTGCCTTGAGTCGTTTATTGTCTTCAGTAATATGATTTTAGTAATATCATTAAAGACACCAGTGTTCAATATACAAAGCAACATAATTATCAATGATTGTCTATTAAACTAGATTTTGAGGTGCTTACCCATGCAAAACTGTGCCACAATGCATATTCTGAGGATTTTTATGGTGTTCTTGGTAATGTTCTATGATGATTATGAATCACCGAAAGTAATAGCACAGTTTGAGGTATTATTCTGATAATTAATCTGGCTTGTAGTATGTACACTAGCCTCTCTGTAGGCTGTTAGACAATCAAAGATGTTTTTACAAATGAATGAACCTTGTGCAAAAAGTACATTATAGCATACATTTAAAAACAAAAAGTACTTATTAAGGAAATTATACATTTTAAAAGAAAGTAATATATTATACCTTTGAAGTTTAAATTTATATTAAATGCAAATAGTTTAACTTTTTAACCAACTTAAGTAGGACTTAAGTACATGTTTGTATGTAATTTCATATTTGCTTCTGTTGTCTTTAAAATAGCGCAGTCATATTGCTGTATGTACTGACAAGCATTTACGGTAAACTAAACTAAAATGCAATTTCTATTGAAACATGTATATCATGTATTTAAATATATTTGTATTTATACATTTGTAACAATAAAGTTGCAATACATTCAAAATATGTTGTAGGGTTGGAGCTAAACTCTGCAGGACACCGGCCCTCCAGGACCCATTTAAAATATACTTTAAAGTAAACATTTGATTTGGCACTATTACAAAGTGCGCTATTTAGAAGTGTACTTAAATGTGTTAAAAACACAGTCATGGAAGCATACTCTTTAAGCACACTTATAAAGTGGCCTTATTTCATTAATAATAAATCATCAGCAAGTACAAAGTGTTTTACATATACTTTTTTAAGATTGGAAGTACACTGCAAGTGCACATTCAATATAATAAACGGCACTTCTTTTTCACAAGAGGATGGTCTGTTCTGTAGTCACAGGGGTGTTTATGATAACTGCTGTAACACAGTTGTAACATGCATTGTGAATTTGCTGATTGACTTGTTCTTGTGTTTCCAGAGAGTGCGTAAAGAAAAAGGAACACTCTCCAAATCTTCGTCAGGGATGCACAGCGGAGGAGAGGAAGAGCCTGAGGACGAGTCCCACACTCCCCTCCCTCCACCAATGGAGATCATCAAAGACCCGTCTGCTCAGGAAGAGAAGGTACACACACAGAACAGAGAGAGAGGAGCTTGGGGAGAGTCATGTCATAGGCAGAGGTCAGCAGGGTGATTAATGTGAAGAGAGATGTATTAAATACTTACTGTGTCACTCATCATGTGTTCATAACTACAGTATCTCCACCTGCCTTCCTCATAGCCCCCCACCCACCCCCCCACACACAGTGGCTTTACTAACACTGTTTTTCCTCCCTGATGTCAACGTCTCCAGTAACTGCTCGGGTGGAGGCTCCTTGTCTCACATTCAACTAACCACAAATCCACCCTGTTGTTGCAATGAAGCTTAAATGATGTAGTTGTGAAACTTTCACTGTTCCACTCAGCTCTGGCTCTGTTACACGCTGTGCCTTGAGATTGCAGTAGTAATGTGGGTTACACTTTATTCCGATAGTCCACTTTAGACATTCTATTAACTATAAGTAACTTTGTAACTACATGTCAACTACATGTCAACTAATTCTCATTAATTTGCAACTACATGTCTACTAACTCTCAGAGTAGACTGTTAGGGTAGGTTTAGGGTTAGTAGAATAAGTTGACAAAGAAAGTGTTAGAAGATATTAAGCAGACAGTCTACTAATACTCTACTAACTGCTAGTTGACATGTAGTTGCAAAGTTACTTACTGTTAATAGAATGTCTAAAGTGGACTATCGAAATAAAGTGTTACCGTAATGTGTTTACAACCCATTGCCGTCTGATGGGTTGAATCTCGAAAAGAACATGACCTTATTTCACTCTAAAATCGAAAGTAAAAAATTCATTTCATAAAGAAATTAAAGACTGTTTTAAGGCCATTATGATTGTTTGCGTTGTGCCATTATTTATTATTGTTCATTGTTACCTTGATTATTATGACAATTAAGCACATTTCCCATCAAATTATAGTTGATCTGTTGCCATTCTCCTGCATATTTTTTTTTAATTCCTATTATCACTGTTTTTTTTTTTCCATTATTAGACTCTCTGTACGATAATATAGTAAGAAAAACCCTGTTCCTGAAAGTTTTTTTTTTTTGAAAGAAACTAATGCTTATATTGTGCATTGAACTGATCAAAAGCGACAGTAAAGAAATTTGATTTCAGCTGTTTTCAACATTGATAATAGTCAGAAATGCTTCTCGAGCAGCAAATCATGATTTCTGAAGGATCATGTGACACTGACACGTGTGTCATTACAGAAATAAATTACATTTTGTAATGTATTCAAATAGAAAACAGTCATTTTAAATTGTAATAATATTTCACAATATTGTTGTTTTTACTCTATTTTTGATCAATAAGAGACTTCTAATAGAGAAATCTTACAGATCCCAAACATTTGAATAGTAGTGTATACAACAAATAATGTCATGAAGTATAAATATTATGCATCACATATTTTACCTGTTACAATAATGAGAATTTGAAATGGAATTTGAAAAATAAATGTCACTTTGCACAAATTGTAAAGGTCTTAAAAAGTAGTTTGTTTGTTTTTTTCAATTAGCTTATAATTAGTTATTTTTCTTTTGATTTGGAGGTGAAATGTTTGGCATGTTCTTGGCATGGCCTTTGCTTCTCTTCTCCCCAAAGCAAAGCTCGATAAACTGGGCTAACCCAGCATCCTGAGCACTTTCTGTTCTGATCTGCTTGTGTGTTCTTTCCTCTCTCCTCCTCACCTGCTGTCTGTCATGTAGTCGTCTGTGCTGCTGGCTTCACGGCAGAGCTCGGCTGACGTCCCCAGTGCTGCTGAGCTTGTCAGTGCTATAGAAAAACTGGTCAAAACTAAGATGGTAAGTGTGCCACTGAACCCGATCTCCTCTCCTGGCACAAGCAGGGAGGTTTGATCGACTAACCTCCTGGATTTCCTCTTTTCCTTTCTGTTTTCTCTTGCTCTGAGACAATCACTAACTCTTGAGCATCTCTTGCACTACTGTGATTTTCTGCAATAGTCTTTTATGGTTATAAAGTTATAAAAACCTTCCAAACTTGCTGGATAGCTGAGCTTGTCAGTGCTATAGAAAAACTGGTCAAAACTAAGATGGTAAGTGTGCCACTGAACCCGATCTCCTCTCCTGGCACAAGCAGGGGAGGTTTGATCGACTAACCTCCTGGTTTTCCTCTTTTCCTTTCGGTTTTCTCTTGCTCTGAGACAATCACTAACTCTTGAGCATCTCTTGCACTACTGTGATTTTCTGCAATAGTCTTTTATGGTTATAAAGTTATAAAAACCTTCCAAACTTGCTGGATATTATAACTTGCTCTGGCCTGGAGTGACGCTTTTCTCCACTTTGAATCTTCTGAGCAGCTCTGATGGTGTTTACTGCAGTTTAGGGCCGTGTCGCACATAAACCATCCAATTGCAGTGTTTGTTCTCCCACATCAGGCCTGGCTCTTCCAAATTCTGACCGGAGTCTCTTGTATTTGCGTGTGTCTCTGTACGTCTAGACACTGGAGCCAGGCTCGTACCCAGGATTCAGCTCAGTGAACCCAGCAGAGCAGAGCCCAGCGCCTCCCAGAGACCCGGAACTGGAGCAGAAAGCCAAAGCACTGCGTGGACGAATGTAAGACACGCGCTCTTCACTCATTTGGGTTGGTCTGGGAGTAAATTCTACAAACATTACAGTCTGATTTCATGTCATAGTGACCAAACCACAGGTTGCTTGTGGGGCTTAAGCCCTGCTGCTAATGTAACGTAAGGGAACCTGACTTATTTATTTGTTTCCTATTTATAAAATATATTTGTATAGTTTGGCTCCCAGGTTGGCATTAGCCTAATATATCATTTATATGTGTCGTCACATGCATACAAAATATGCATATGAAATGCATAAATCAGTATTATTATATTGAATTTTATAAATGAATGGTTATTTATTTATTTAGTGGGAACTAGTGTGGAAAACATTGGTTATTTTTAACTAGATTTTTACTGAATTTAAATTACTGCTTTTTGGTTGAAAATAATTCTTATGAAACAAATTATAATTTTTTTGAAAAAAATAAATGCAGCACCATTCCAAGTCATTATGGAAGCCCGTTTCCGCCACTGAATAAAAAATAAAAAAGGTTATTGCGACTTTTTATCTCACAATTCTGACTTTTTTTCTCAGAATTGTGAGTTTATATCTCGAAATTGTGACTTTTTTTTTTAGAATTGTGAGATACAAACTCACAATTGCGAGGAAAAAGTCAGAATTACGAGTTTATATCCAACAATTCGGGCTTTATAACTCGCAACTGTTAGTTTATATCACGCAATTCTGAGAAAAAAGTCAGAAATTTGAGTTTATATCTTGCAATTCTGACTTTATAACTCAAAAAAAGTCAGAATTGTGAGATGAAAAAGTCGCAATAACCTTTTTTTTTATTATTCAGTGGTGGAAACAGGCTTCCATAAGCCATTTCAGAGTGAGTACATATATATATTGAGATATTGCCAAAAGATTTAGAAATATCACGGGGGTTTTTTTCACTGTATTGCCCAGACTTTAAAAAAATAATCTGGTTACATCTGGTAAAATGCAATTGATTCTTTTCAAGCAACCAGATCTGGTAATAACTCATGTTCATGTAACAGGCAACATTGAGAAAGTCATCTCCCTGAACAATATGGCTCTCATTAAAAAGCAGAGATATTTATGGGAAATCTTATCTCTTTTGGCCTCTTTATTTCAATTGTTCTTTCATTCTGCTACACCCTTAAAAGAGAAGTGTGATGGGACTTAACCTGACACAGTTTTGTGTCCATTTGCAGGTTTGTTCTCAATGAATTAATCCAGACAGAAAAAGACTACGTGAAAGATTTGGGTATCGTGGTCGAGGTGAGAATAGCCGACATCCTGACAGTATAACATTACATAATTCTGTGACTAAAGGCATAGTTTTGCTTTAGCGTGAAAACACTCTAGTGTGACTTTATCCGTCTTCATTGGTCTTCTATCTTAAGATCAGAGCCATTTGGCATCATCTGCTGTGTCATTACTCTTTTGCATTACATCAGTTTTTACTCTGGGTGAATGTGTTTTGAGTAGTGGCTCATATGTACATGAAATAATTTCTTCTGAAGGGGTTTATGAAGAGGATAGAGGAGAAAGGAGTTCCTGATGACATGAAAGGAAAAGATAAGATCGTCTTTGGAAACATTCACCAAATCTATGACTGGCACAAAGAGTAAGCCTCTCTGATTCTCTTAGCTCCTCTTATTGAACCATGAGCGGAATGTGTCTAATTCTGTTGCTGTCTGAAGCTTTTTTGTTGGTGAACTGGAAAAATGTCTTGAAGATCAAGAAAAACTGCCCGGGCTGTTCTGTAAACATGTGAGTATGTGATTGACATCAGGTCTGTTAGCTGTGTTAGCTGTGCATTGCTCATGAAGTGTTTCCTGTTTCTGTGTGTGTAGGAGAGAAGACTGCACATGTATGTGGTTTACTGCCAAAACAAACCCAAATCTGAATTCATTGTTGCAGAATACGATTCATACTTTGAGGTGAGACACGCTTTACTTTGATGGCGTATTTTTGTAGACCAGCCCGGAAGTTAACATTACCCTGTTTTTCTCAACAACAACAAAAACCCAATAGGATTTTTTTCCATAAGCTCTCTGAGATAATCTTCACAGATGGACACCACTTTTATGAATTGTGAAGCCTAAATGAGTAAAAACCTAAAGTTAGGCTATACGCTGCGGTGACCACCACTAAGCTGCCAACAACTATTTCAATCTTTATTTAAAATCTACTGGTTGGAAAGCTTGAGTTAGAATAGTTTCCAAGAGCATGTGCATACATTAAAAAGGCTGTAAAAGTGGACTAGTGAGTAGATGCGTTTACCTGTTCTGTGTGATGACGTTTAATGTCCCGACAACCTCTGTAGCCTTGTTACAACTCCAAATACACAAAATAATGATCTTTAAAATAGCATCATATGACCCCTTTAAGACGCGTAAAAGCTGGGCTACTTTTGATTTATTTTATGTTGTAGCATAAAATGTGAAAATATCTTGAGATTATTAACACAGACCTTTTTTTATGCATTTAACCAAAAACCTATTAAAAAAATGTTTAAAGATTTGTTTTTAGGACTCTTTCCTGCAGCACTCTATCAAATCACTTCTGAAAAAACGAATTACTCATTGCAAGTTTATATTTATGTGTCTGTTTTGACTCACAGGGGATTCAGCAAGACATCAACTCAAGACTGGGCATCAGTGATTTTCTCATTAAACCCATTCAGAGAATCACTAAATACCAGCTTTTATTAAAGGTACCGTAGAAAGGAAGTCGGTGATGCTGTGATCGATAACATGAATTAATAATAATAATGTTTTAATAATGTATATAATTTCTTCAATATTTCTCTATTGCTTAAGGACTTCTTGAAGTACAGCGCAAAGGCAGGATTGAATTGTCAGGATATAGAGGTAAAAATGAAGCTAAAGTGCTCACTTGCCTAATAATAATAAAGGTCAGTCATAAAGCGAGGACAATGCATTTGAGATTTTTGTAAAGTTTGTTGAAGCTGCTTATACTTCAGGCCCAGAGGTCATCCAGGTTTTTGTTGGGTTTCTCTGACAGAGAGCAGTAGACCTGATGTCCCAGGTGCCCAAGCTGTGCAATGACATGATGAACCTGGGAAGACTGCAAGGATTTGAGGTAAACTGAAAACAGCTTCACTGTACTCATTCTGAAGTGTCATCAGTGCAAGCTTACTGAAAAGACGTTGTAAAAGTTTGCAGTGATCTTACCATGATTAAGGGGTGTTCTACTGTTGTCAGTTACTCACCATCATTTTTGTACTGAAACCTGAGTGATTTCTGTCTCTTCATTGTTAAGATTTGTCACATGCAAAGAGCTCATCAAATATTATAAGTGGAAGCTTGTAACACGCAAGCATGTTTGAATTTCCACAAAAACCAATGAGGTTTGTTTTCATGTCAAGCAAGTATGGTGGAGTTTCCATTTACCATATTTGATGTATGCTATTGCTCTCTCTCTCTCTCTCTCTCTCTCTATATATATATATATATGTATGTGTGTGTGTGTGTGCGCATTGATCGATGATTATTTGTGAATACAAACCTAAATCTGAATCTGTTAATCATATAAAAGTAATCTTTTCCCTTTAGAAGAGTTGGATTAAACCGTTTGATTCATATGGATCTCTTTATGAACTTCTTAAAGGGGTCATCGGATGCAAAATTCACTTCACAAGTTGTTTGAACATAAATCTGTGTTGGAAGCGTGTGTAAACATCCATCCTATAATGATAAAAATCCACCTAGTGATTTTTTTTTAAATCCCTATTTTAAAATCCCCTTTCTCAAATAAGGCTGTTCTGAGATTCCTGTCAGAATGACGTAGTTCTGCACAGGCCCCTCCCACGATAGTTGATTGACAAGGCCGTCTTACCTTAGACCCGCCCTGAGTGAGCTATCATCAGTCCGCCATTGTGTCGACTCCGGTGCGGGGGAAGACAAGAATGTCTCCGATTAAGCGATTGAGGTGTTTTGTTGCTGGATGTAATAATGAATAAAGCAGTCGTCATTTACTGAAGACGCAGAGGATTAATGTTACTTTCGTTTTTGAAGGGAATGCACCGATCCTCGATCTGCCTAAATGCGTCTATGTTTGCGTGAATCATTCATGATCCAGCTTCATCTGCAGAAGAAGTGAGTGTAAGGATTTTTATGAATCTTTGCAAATCGCCTTTCCTAATAATGTGCTAGTTAGCCAGTTTTGAAGCTGAAGTTTACAGTCTGCTCGTCACCCCACGGAAGAGAGGGGCGAGGTCAGCAGAGCTCATTAGCATTTAAAGCAACATGGACTAAAAAACAGCTTGCTGAAAACAGAGCCGATTTTGACAGGGTAAAAAGGGTGTTTTTTACACTACCATTGATCAATTTTAACCAAAGTATGTTAAAGACTTTTCATTAAGACCCTAAAGAATCATATCAACTTGTAGAAAATGGGCATCCGATGACTCCTTTAAAGCTCGAAAGTTTTAGTGGAATGAACGTTTAATGGAGGGACAGAAATCTCTCAGGTTATATGAAAAAAAAATCTTAATTTGTGTTTAAAAGAACAAATGTCTTATGAGTTATGAGACAGAATTAAACTTTTTGGGTCAAAAGAGTTCTCCACGATTTGTGGCATCTGTTAATGTTCACTTGAATATATCAGAGCAATTGAGTTCACGGACACTTTCACTATCTCAGACTGATGAGTTTGTATGTTTGTGCGCTTCAGGGGAAGTTGACGAGTCAGGGAAAGCTCTTGCAGCAGGAGACGTTCTTTGTGACGGAGCAGGACACTGGTGTTCTGTCCCGCAGTAAGGAGCGCAGGGTATTCCTGTTTGAACAGATCGTCATCTTCAGCGAGCTCTTACGCAAAGGCTCATCCACGCCAGGATACCAGTTTAAAAAGAGCATCAAGGTAACCACACCACCGTTACTCATGGTGCATGTAGGTTTAAGCCCAAAGTGTGTGTGTGTGTGTGTGTGTGTGTGTGTGTGTGTGTGTTTTTTACGCATAAAGATTTTTCTACCCGCATGTACACACGCACATGTGCCTTGAGGTTTATTTGCACTAATCAGTTTGTCCACAAGGTGATAGAAATGAAACTCTTTGAAACTTTGAATCAAGTGCACTTGTTCTTTGCAAAATTAATCTTTGATTCGAAGCAAATTAAATTACACCTGCTGGTGATGCCTGTAAATGCAATGAAAATGCAGCCCAAATATGCATAAAAACACCATTTACAAAATATTGCAAATGTTTTATTAATAGTGAAATCTATTAAATGCAATTAATAAATCATCTAATACCATTAAATATTAAGCGTCTGTATGATATGTTATTTTATTATATTGTAGGTTATATTATATTGTGATTTATTTTATGGAGAGCATGGTTAATCAGGCCAATAAGAGACTATGAACAACAACCCTTCATTTTTATTACACAAATGTGTCATTAAAAATGTCTACATATGTATAAAACTGTTCCAAAATCAGGTAAAAACCATATAGACACTAGTTCATGGATTCACAGAGATCGCCCCCTAGTGGTGAACCATAACACTCCAAAGAGAAAGGAAAAAATGAAATTGCATCATATGACCCCTTTAAGTTATGACTTAACAATCGCTTACTTTGGCGGTTTGATACATGCTCAGAATCACTGGTTCGAAACAAATGATTCGCAAAGGTTTCAAAGCTCACAAAGCAGTGTGTCTGTGTCAAAAAAGTCTGTGTTTGGCTGTACGCATACACTAAGTGTTCGCATAGAAACTGAAGCACACTTTGGGCTTTGCTTTTTGGGAGTTGTGAAAATCACAACCCTGGCTACTAGATGGCTGAAACCAGGTGTGATACTGACTTGTGTATGCAGGTGAGCTTGCTCAGCCTAGAAGAGCATGTTGAAAACGATCCATGCAAGTTTGTGCTGTCGTGTCGTGGGTCAGCCGAACGTTTCACCCTGCAAGCAGCAAATACGGACATTAAACAGGTCTGGGTTCAGCATATCACCGAGCTACTAGACTTGCAGAGCAACTTCTTGTCAGGTAAGCCATCACGTCGATATGAATTTAATCAACTCTCCTTCTGTTGAGCCATTGAAACTATTGGTGCATCTGTCTACAGCTCTGCAGTCTCCCATCGAGTATCAGAAGGAGCGCAGCGGCTCTCAGTCTCTGACCCGAAACTCCTCCAGCGGTGGCCGAATGGGTCAGGCCAACAGCAGGCCCAGCTCCACTGTGTCACTCGGGGCAGAGAAACCCACTCTGTCTGGACGGAGCTCCACTCCAATAAAGCTAACTACCTCCAACGGTGGTCCATGCCACGGCTCGGACAGATACCACAGGGTGAGAACACAGCACCTCTGCTAACATTAAACATCTGCATGCTAGAGTTTATGGTGGCTCATAGAAATCTAGCTCTAGTTCTAGTTCTTTTATTTATAAAGCACATTTAAAAACAGTCACAAGACTGACCAAAGTGCTGTGCAACAAAATGATCAAAAAGTAACACATTCAAACATCATCAACTTATAAAAACCGATAAAGATGGAGCAGCTCTGAGGTGCGCTTGCAGGCTATTCCACAATCTAGGGCCCATAACCGAAAATGCTCTATCTCCTCTGCATTTCAACCTTGTGCAAGGAACCATAAGTAGGTTTTGGGAAACATGTTTATCTAGAGTGAGCCTATTATCCAAAAGAACACCAATGTAGAGCGAGAAGAGCAGAGGTGCTAGAATAGATCCCTGGGGAAGACCAGATTCGAGGTGGGCAGCAGAGGAAGTAAAGTTGCCAATTCTGACTGAGAAATATCGCTCTGTTAAATAAGATTTAAACCAATTCAGGACTGTGCCTTTTAGCCCCACAAAACATTCTAATCTAGACAGGAGGAACTGATGGTCAATAGTATCGAAGACAGCAGTCAGGTCTAACAGAATTAAAATCACAGTGTCACCTGAATCGGTAGCAACTAAGATATCAAATCCATACTTTGATGTTCATGATGTTGTTTTTCTCAGGGTGGTGTCTGTACAAGAGTATTTGCATCATTCATCTGTGATTTTCGGATGGCAGTTAATTCATAGACTACACAAGAGCCACTACCCCACCTATAGTTAGTCACATGACCATATTGCAAAATAATGCTGAGGAACGGTTACAGTCCATTAGCCCATTTTGACAGCTTACCTAACTGGATTCTTGAAACAAGTCCTCTGAAACAAGCATCCATTTTGCTCATTCCCATTAGCACCCAAGTGCTGTCAAAAAGAGCACTAAAATCGCCATGAAACAAAAGTAGAGACAAATCTTGTCTTTTCTTCTGTATTTTGACACATCCGAGAGATTGTCGAAAAAGAAAAAAATGCAAGGCGGGGGACTTGGTTCTAAGCATCAGGTGTTGATTGGATGTTGAGATGTGGGCTTGGCACTCAAATATGGATGAACGTGATCTGGAAGGGGCGGTTTATGCAGACTAAATGATTGGAGAAGTCCTGCATACGTAACCAGAGAGAAGTCTGTCTTTTCACTGGAAGGTTAAATTATAACATTTTGAGTAAATTGTATGAACATTTGTGAAATTTAGTGTAAAAACACCAATGTCTATTGTCAATAATGTAGTGATGCTCACATAGAGGTCTTTTTTTTTTTTTTGCCTCATCCAAATTTCCCCAAAATTCCTTTGCATGTAATTTTGCAGACCAACGGTAAATGTGACCACACATTAAATGGCGAATTCACCAAAATTATATTCAAAATAGACTATAAAATCTTAAAATGTAGTTACCTTATATTACCCAGTACTTTCTTAGGTAAGTACACTGTAATTGCACGTACTGTAAAATAAAGTGCATCTAAAAATTTTGCATATGCTGTGCATTACATAACTCCATATGCTAGACATACTATGTAAAGGTGTTAATGTCTTCTTGACTACTGACGTTTAAGGTCTGGTTGACATATTAATTATTTTAACCATGCATTTATTTTTTGTCTCTGTGTGTGTGTATTATGCGGTGTGTGTTTCCTACAGCAGTTTGGCGATGTGGGCTGTAACGGTACGTCGTCCTCCTTGATGGTGACTCAGGACTATAATGCACTGAAAGAAAACGAGATCTGCGTCATGCAGGGTGAGACGGTGCAGATACTGGCCACTAACCAGCAGAACATGTACCTGGTGTACCGATCCGCTAACAGCCAGTCGCCGGCCGCGGAGGGCTGGGTGCCGGGACACATCCTGGGGCCCCTCGCTAAACCCCTCATAGACACTACTGCAGACTCAAACATCAAGTAAGTGTCAATCAACACTAACTGGAGCTCTGATTGGATTGTTTAAGACTGCACGCCTGTTTTTGAACACCCCCCACCCCATTCTGTTGGAACTAACCCGGATGTTTTGGACCCTTTTGCACAGGAAGTTTTGATTTTCCGCTTGAGGTTTTTTTTTTTGGGGGGGGGGCTAAAAGTTAAAAACCAAGGCAGATAAATTCTGAAAGGACTATAGCAAAGCCACATCGTTATTGTTGTGTAGACGGAGGATTTGTGAAGGATCTTACATCAGTGTGGAAATGGACACGTCTGGACGCTTATTTCAGTTCCTAACACCCTGTTTTTATTGTTTCTTTGTTTTTTGTTGATATAATTTTTGTTTTGTTTTTGTGTGTGTGAAAAGATAAAAAAGTGAAAGAAAGGCCTTCTGAAGAATTTGGCCTGTTTCTCCTGATGGAGAACATATACTGTTGTCTATGGCAATTTTTTAATAGGTTGTGTATTTGTTTTAATTGTATTTTTGTATAGATTTTTTTTTCTTTTGTTTCTTCTACAGGATCACATGTTGGCCATTTACTGTAAATACTGTTGGTTTGTTTACTGTTTGTAGCACATTCCTGTAAAGAGCTTTTTGCACTATTTAAGTGAACCTTTATTAATGAAGTCAGGTTTGTGCAATAGAACTACAGTTGCAATGTTGTAGTGTAACTAATGATTTTAAATGTATTATATTAAATATGTAAAATAAAATTTTGACATGCGCATGACTTAACCTGTCTTAGTAAAAATAGATAGTTTTATTTTAATAATACTTTCACAAAGAGTAACAATGCCAAGTAAATGCTAATAGAATTTTAAGAAATCCAAGTGGTGCACCTTATTTTGATTTATTTCCTTTAATTTATTTTATTTTGTAATGTAGCGTGTAGAAGACTTATTTTGTGTTTGTACTAACCTCTTCGGTCCTTGACAGTAAAGGTTTGTGTGTGAAACAGTGTTTGCTGTGAATGATATGAATGACTGCTGTTCTCACACAAACCTGTGTCCATCATGGTGCAAGGATAAAGATTAATAGATTTATATACATGCACTACCATTCAGAATTTTGGAGTCAGATGAAGATAGATAGACAGACAGACAGACAGACAGACAGACAGACAGACAGACAGACAGACAGACAGTAGCTAGATAGATAGATAGATAGATAATGACAAATTTTTTTTCATGACGAGAAAGTTCAAAAGAACAGCATTTATTTGAATTGTCTCTGCTGTCACTTTTGATCAATTTAATTCATCCTTGTTGAATAAAAGTATTAATTAGAAAAAAAAAATCTTACTGACCCCAAACTACTAAATATGATTTAAAAAAAACAGTACTAGATTATACTTGTGTGATACAGAAATACTGGGTATAAAATATTTGTGCAATTCAAGCACACTTATGTCTGATGGTGGACATTAATGTCCAAACACTTTCTGAGGTCTCTATAAATGGAACTGGATGATAGATCCTCTATGCATTTTACTAATGTTAAAAATAGGTTAACAGTATCGAGTATCTTGCTTTTTCTTTTTGTGGACCTCCCTATTTCCCTCCTGAAATATTTGTTTCCCCCTCAAGCACTTTAAGTTGCTTTTTCTTGCTGTTAGATTTGCATTTCCACCAGCGTGTGTGGGTTTGACAACCTGATGTTTTGACACGGCAGGAAATCTCTCTCTTGGAACACGCTTCGTGCTCGCAAGCGTGCAGAGAAGGACAGTGCGCCCCTCAAAAGTGACATTAAAGTTGAGAATGGACTGCGTAAGCCAAAGGAAATTCTCAGCAGCAAAGTCACTGTGAAAGTGAGTAGGAGGATGAGGGTGTATGTGTGTGTGTGGGCTGCATCTTCACCTGTGTGGAAATAAACACTGAACACGTCACTCACCCAATGACAGCATGATACTAACAGTCCTAAACTTTTCAAATGTTAGCTTTTTTTTTTTTCTTCAATTTTGATATTGAAAAGTTGAATGATGCTGCATAATCTGCTAACAATTTAAGAGGAATACAACTATGTGTTGTAAATATAAAGGTTGGGTAGTGTGTTTTTGTTTTTTTGTTTTTTACCCTATATGTGACCCTGGACCACAACACCAGTCATAAGGGTCAATTTTTTGAAATTGAGATTTATACATCATCTGAAAGCTGAATAAATAAGCCTACCCTTGATGTATGGTTTGTTAGGATATGACAATATTTGGAGACTATTTGAATATCTGGAATCTGAGGGTGCAAAAAATCTCAATATTGAGAAATATTTTTTTAAGTCGTCCAAATGAAGTTCTTAGCAATGCATATTACTAATCAAAAATTACGTTTTGATATATTTACAGTAGGAAATTTACAAAATATCTCCATGGAACATGATCTTTACTTAATACTTAATTTACCCTAATGATTTTTGGCATAAAAGAAAAATCGATAATTTTGACCCATACAATGTTTTTTTTTGGCTATTGCTACAAATATACCCCAGCGAATTAAGACTGGTTTTGTGCTCCAGGGTCACATATTTCAGCCTTATTTTTTTTTAAATAAGCTCAATAAATTAGTAAAATTTGTTTAATAATGTTTTATTATTATTATTATTATTTTGCTTTGGTAAAATACCACAGTATAAAAATGTAATTTTCTTCATTTGTAGCCATCCAATTTTGTGATTAATGACACTAATACGTAATTAATTTGAAACATTCCTGTCATTTTGGCCTGGAGTTCTCCGTCCCTCTGTATTCCTGTACTGTAAGTCTGTAACAATGTTCTCTCTCAACCCAAACCACAGGATTCCCGCAGCTCAGATGAGTCCGAGTGTGAGGATGAACTAGACCCCAAAACTAGTATGGAGGTAGAGATACTGATCTCAATGCATGCTGCCCAATAAGCTTTTATTTTTTTTATTTATTGATATTATAATTTTGTAATAAACTCAATTTAATAGTAAATAGATAAGCTTTTTAAAGCTCTAATCTAAAGAAATATCTGAACCTCTTTTTACATGAGCGCGTTGTTGTTGGTAAGTTATTATTTGAACTAATCGTGTGGAGTGACTGGCATAAAGGGCTTTTCACACCAAGGATGATAACTATAACTATAAAGTTTTAATAATCATTCTAGTTTTATGAAGGAAGTCCACGCCAGAGCTAAAATAAAATCACTTTCAGAACAAATGTTCAGATGTTCAGAGTTAAACACTATCTTAATGCATACTGCATACTGAGCAGTATATACTGCACTGAAAAAAAAGATGGATTTCCTTAAATCAAAATAAAAGTATTTTTGTGGTTGCTCTACAGCAGAAAGATTTTGCTAACTGAAAGGTGGACAGCCACCATATTATGTGTTGCAAATCAAATAAAAAAAGACATTTGTGGTTGATATTATTAATTATTAACGCCAAGGTCAATCAGAGAACACTGTGTTTCTGGAAATCACAAGCAGTGTGCTCTGGATGTATACTTCTCATTGTGGCTGATGTATTTGGTCTGGATTCAGGATTTGACACAATAGCAGCACTCTGCAGAAATGGTATTATTAGTATGCTAGTATGCTATTCTGAACATCACACAGTGGCTGAAATCGAAATGGCATACTATCATGCTACACTTACAATTCTCCCATATTTTTATAGTATGTCATTTCAAATACAGCTAGTGTCTATCATGTCATGTGAAAGTACTGCCCTCTGTTGGCTTGTGCTGAAATGACACAACATAAAACGTCCTCTCTTTCTGTGTGTGTGTTTGCAGAAAGATTCAGTGCTTTATGTGTGACTGATAGTCTAGACTGCTTAAAGTATGCACCTTTAACACTCCTCCTGTCTGTTTTACAGTTACTGAATCCTAATTTCATCCAGGAGGGTGAGTTTATTAATATGTACAGATGCTGTGATGTTCCGTTTGTCTGTATTTTCTACTAGCATATATTGTTGAGTGATCATACATACAGTATGTCACCTGTAGCTTGTTTTAGAAATCCAATTAAATATCTCCTTGAATGAAGTGAAATGAAAGAGAAAATAAAAATCAGTGTCCATCAGAGTGACTTTGTACTATATATATATATATATATATACACACATGTGCAGTGGCTCCGGAGTTCCTGACGCCTCTAGCGGACGTGGCGTGTGCTCTGGGGGAGACAGTGGTTTTGTGCTGTAAAGTCTGCGCTCGACCCAAGCCCACAATCACCCTGAAAGGACCCGATCAAAGTCTGCTAGTCAACAATAACCGATTCACTATCAATATTAGGTACTAGTCCACAATCAGTCACAACACAAATTACGATCACAACCAAGAAACACTAGTGCTTTGGATACAATCTGTCCTGTAGTGAAATGTTGAAGTTCTATTTTGCAATATTGCAGTACAATCTTTGGGTATAAGAGACTGCTTGACTTTGGGAAAGTGTTGAGGAACAAAGAAATGTTTTACATTAAAGTTCAGATCATGTCTTCTGTATTTGTCCTGTGAGAAAACTGTACCCATGTAACCTCGTAAGTCTCATTGTTATGTAACTGTCCCATGATTCCTCCCTGTGTTTTCCTGTGTCCTGCGTCCAGTGTTAAACGTCAATCCCTGGTGCTACGTGTGTGTTCCTTGTGGTTTGGATAAATAAAGACTGTTATTATGGTGATTCTCCTACGTGCTCCTCATTCCTCGCTCCAACACAGTAGGCACTCGTGACAGAACACTGGACCTAAAAACATACAAATGGAGATCATCGCAAGATCCGCCGCCCTAGCCTGCAAGGATCTTCCTTTTGTGTAGTATGCCAGGGAATTCTGTGGGCTCGCCATCTTGACGGCATTGGACGACGCCACACTGAATTTTTTGTTCTGGACCAGGGCCAATTACCATCACACCGCCGACCTCCCAGACACCACTGGTCTATGCTGGAGGGAAGGGTTCCTCCGGTGTCTGGAGAGCATCCGGCCCCAATCCAGAACCGCTCCGCAGTCAAGCCCGCCAGCCGCTCCAAAGTCAAGCCAGCCGGCCGCTCCATTGTCAAGTCTGCCGGCAGCTCCATCGTCCAGTGTCGGCTCCATCCCTTGAGTCCGCTCCAGTGTTGGCTCCAGCCCCTGAGTCCACTCCAGAGTCAGCTCCAGCCCCTGACCAGAGTCAAGTCATGGCTCTAGCCCCAGTCCCGAGTCAAGAGAGGGCTGCTGTTTCCACGTCGAACCCAGGGAGGGCTCCAGTTCCTGAGTTTAGCCCAGAGAGGGCTCCTGTTCCCAAGTTAAGCCTAGAGAGGGCTCCTGCTCCCACGTCCAGCTCAGAGAGGGCTCCTGTTCCCGAGTAAAGCCTAGAGAGGGCTCCTGTTCATACATCCTGCCCAGAAAGGGCTCCTGTTCCCCAGTCCAGCCCAGAGAGGGCTACTGTTCCCACGTCCAGCCCAGAGAGTGCTCCTGTTCCCACATCCAGCCCAGAGAGAGATTCTTCTCCCAAGTCCAGCCCAGAAGAGGGCTCCTGTTCCCACGTCTGGCTCAGGGAGGGCCACAGATCCGGAGTCAAGCCCAGTGAGGGCCGTTGTTCCTAAGCCTGGACCACGGATGGCCTCAGAACCCGAAATTTCCCCCAAGGAATTTTTTTTGGGGGGGGCTATAGGGCTCCGGCCGTAGAGGACTGGACGAGTGCCGAGGCCAAGGCCACGGAGGCTGCCCCGCCATGGCTCCACAAGCTGCCTGGTCTGCCATGGCTCCCTAGTCTGCCTGCTCCACCATGGCTCCCCGAGCTGCCTGCTCCGCTCATGGCCCTTTGAACGGGTACCGCCCTGGAGGCCTTCCGTCCTGTGTAAGTCTGTCCCTAGAGGCCTCCATAGCGCCCCCCCCTCCCCGTTGGAAGTTATGAAGCGAGTGGATGCACCTTCTGGGAGGGGGAGGTAATGTCACGTCCCATGGACTGCCCCTGTGTTCCTGTCTTGTGTTGTGCTCCCCGTGACCCAGTTTCTCCTCGTGTTGATTGTGTTCTATCTGATTCAGCTGTTTCTCCTTTATTTCCTCATTTAGTTCCTGGTACTTAAGCCCTGTGTTTTCCTGTGTCCTGTGTCCAGTGTTAAATGTCAATCCCCGGTGCTACGTGTGTGGCATTTGGATAAATAATGTGGTTTGTGGTAAATAAAGACTCCTTGTGGTTTGGATAAATAAAGACTCTTATTATGGTGATTCTCCTACGTGCTCCTCATTCCTTGCTCCAACACAGTAGGCACTCGTGACAATAGGCTGCACAACCAGATTTTACATTTAAGAGGGCAATAGGTTTTCACTTGGGGGATTATGAACTTTTTTTTGCTTTAGTAAATAGAAAAACAAAACTGTATTATGCACATTATTGTATTAACTATTTGAGCAAAAAACAAACAAACAAATAAATAAATAGCATAAGGAACAACAATTGTCTTTAAATTATATTAAATGCAATTTAATTGTATTAAATGACCTCCTTAATGATATTACTATTCTATTAAACTTGAATGTAAATATATTTGTAAATACAATTGCTTTATTAAAGATTTATAAAATGATTGTTGTGTCATTTGATTCTCTCTCTCTGTGCTGTGCCCATGTAGGGAATCGGGTAATATAGTGTTGAAGATCTGTAATCTAATGCCTCAGGACACTGGCATCTACACGTGTGTGGCTGTGAATGATCATGGCACTGCCTCCTCATCTGCATCTATTAAAGTACAAGGTAAAAGAAACAAAGGAATAAAAATGGGTATTGCACAAATCACCTTCCCACATGTTTTAATGTCCAGATGTTCTCTGGTGCAGGTATCCCAGCAGCCCCTGCTCGTCCTGTGGCACAGGAAGCCAGCAGCACCGCAGTGATTGTCCACTGGCTTCCTCCAGCCAGCTCAGGCAACTCTGCCATCTCCAGCTACAGTGTGGAATACAGGCAGGAAGGTATAAACACTTACACAGCTGTAAAGTCCAAGTCTCAGCATAGCCAAACAGCATCTCAAAACAGACAGCATAGCCAGAAACACTTAAAGAGGTAATGCAGTGGAAAACTACTGATTTTACTAACTTGAAACAGTAAAAATGCAATGTAGAAATAAAATTGGCTCACTATCAAACATTCACATTCCTCCTCAACCCTCAACAACACTGCCTGAAACTAAAGAGTTCGTTCAGAATTCTGTGCTCTCATAACTGTAAGCTAATTAACATATCACATTTACATATCATCAACTATTCTATATTCAGTATTTTATGCTTACCAAGGCTGCATTTATGTGATCAAAAACATGGTTAAACATGTAAAATAGTATTACAATTTAAAAGAACTGTATTTTGAAATGGAACTTGTTCCTTTTATGGTAAAGCTGAATTTTCAGCATCATTACTCCAGTCTTCAGTGTCACATGATCCTTCAGAAATCATTCTAATATGCTGATTTAGTGCTCAAGAAAAATTTCTGATTATTATCAATGCTGAAAACAGTCATGCTGCTTGAAAACTGTTCAATGCATCCCTGAATTTAAAAAATAATAATACTATTTTCAGTGTATTAAACTTTGGCTAACAGTATTTTAGTGCAGGAAACTTTGACTAATAAGTAAACTTACTAAATAAGTAGACTACTGACTTAAGAAAAAAGGTAACGCGTTTCCACAGAAGTACAAAATATAGCACCTTTATCCAGATCCATACATATTACTCTGTCTGCAAAATTAATCTCATGATGTATGAATGTGTGTCATTCTGTTCATTCATCCTGAACCCCATAATGTCTGTTAACTGAAACACTAGAAGAAAAACTACATCTGTTATTTTGTGTATCCAGGTTGACGTTTGTGTGTCTGTATTTGTGTTCAGACTCTCTGGTGTGGCAGCAGTCGGTGGTCTCCACTGCAGACGTGTGTGTGAAGATTGAGAATCTGATTCCTGGTGGCCATTATCAGTTCAGAGTCAGTGCCAGTAACCCCTGGGGCATCAGCCCACCCAGTGAACCCTCAAACATGGTGACATTACCCAGCACAGGTCAATACAATCAAATCAAACTTAAGTGCCTGTCCCAATTGAGCTGCCTTCCTGTCAAGGTAGCAGTCTTCTACAGGATCATAACCGAAATGCATTATCTTGAAAGTGCATCAGTTTAGAAAGTACATGAATCTAGAGTAGTCTATCCATGGAAGCAGTGTATTGCGGTTTGTTCAATATTGCATATAAATAGACTTTTAAAACATTTGTAAATATGTATTCATGTAAATTTTGGCATATGTAAACTCATTATTAATTGTATAAATTAATCATTTAAAGAGCATCATCAAGAACAAACATCATATTGAACTAACGTTGAACAAAAGTACGTTTATTAACCAAGAATAACCCCAAAGTAGAAATTTGTGAAGATTTATAATGACATAACTATGATTAAGTGATGACAATTGTTCATTTTTGGGTGAAAACTCTTAGATATCCTACAGAGTTCACCAACCCACCACTCAGGCTGCCATCGATGCCATCAGCTGTGCCATTATTAATAAAACGTACCTGTATTTTAGATGCTTGAGTAGTTTTAATTACATTTAAAAATCCATTCTAGCCTTCCATTTTAACCAAAATAAAGTATCCTAGAAAAAAAAAAAAAAACATGCTGCCATGTTTTGGAAGCACACCTATGATGCCTATAAAGTATTGTCTGAAATTGTTCTGTGTATAGGTAGGCAGCACTAGGTTTTGGAATAGAGTTATAGTGTAATTGTTCCAGACACATTTCTTATAACTATTTTTTTTCTCTCTTTTATGAAGCCTCAACTTATGACGGCACTGGAATCCAGTGGAAAGACAACTTTGAATCTGCATTCACAGAATTGTGTGAAATTGGACGGTAAAGATATATATATATATATATATGTGTATATGTATGTATATATTACCTTCATTAAAATGCAGTCCATCATCCTTTATCCTGTCAGTAACAAACTCAGCTGACTCATATGTTTTCTGTTTTTAGGGGCCGTTTCTCAGTGGTGAGGAAGTGTCTCAGTAAGGCCAGTAAGAAGGAGGTTGCTGTGAAGTTTGTCAATAAGAAGATGCAGAAGAAAGACCAGGTGGCCCATGAGGCTGATATCCTGCGTCACGTCCAGCATCCGCAGCTGGTGGCGCTGCTTGGTACCTACGAGTCGCCCAAGGCCTACATGCTGGTTCTTGAGCTGTGAGTAAATCCATTTAGAAAGCAAATAGTCTTCCATTGACAGCCCATCACAATAATTATGGGCCAACAGTACTGTGGCGTTATTCCAGGGGCCCTGATTAGAAAGTGGGCCAGACATGAATTATCTTCTGAAGATTGTCTTCAAGAACAAAATGTGTAAGAATCAGAGCTTAGACCAGAGTTTATTTTTTACAATTATCCAAAAGCCAACCGAGAGAGAGAAAAAAAAAACCCTATTTTGACTTTTTGTCAAAGGAACCAGGGTACTTCCAACTTCCGGAATGACCTACAGAATTACATCATCCCTGCAGCATTCTATAGAAGGGCAGTTGAGCTCAACTCAGCATATTCTAAATAAATTCAGTTAATATTCAGTAAAAAAGACAAAAATGTTATGTTTTGCTGCATGGAACAGAATGAATATTCTCCTCCTGGAATCTCATTTTACACACACACACTCAAATGGAACTTATTTTTAAAAATGACGTGCAATGAAATGATCATATTTACATGTGTTCAGTGTTGAGGATGGGCGTCTGCTGGACTATCTGGTGGCTCACGATGAGCTGATGGAGGAGAAGGTGGCGTTCTTCATTAAAGACACACTGGAAGCTCTGCAGCACCTGCACACATGCAGAGTAGCTCATCTGGACCTCAAGGTGAAATATCATACCAGCACATCAGCATGCAACAGATACTTACAGCTTATTTACTGGAAAGTAGTACTTTAGCAGACACTTATCTGAAGCAGAACAACTTGCATAGCAATGCTCTAGCAACCACCAGTACACTTAGTAGCCATGCAGCAGTGCTCTAAAAACCAGCTGCGAATAAAACCTAAAAAAAACAATTAAGCAACTGCATAGCAACCATTTAGAACACCCAAGCACCTGCAAAACAGCATGCTAAAAACCTAAATAAAACCAAAGACTGCATACACCATGGTTCACTTATTACAAGGAATGGGAGGAAGTGCATTTTGGCAGATCTAATAAAGAAAGTTCCACCTTCTAATTAAGTCAATTGCAAATTGGTAAAGTCATTGCATCAGTGCAGCTGCCTTTAAAAGCTCCAGTCCCCGACAGTGTCCTGAGGCTCGCATTTCTCCATTCAGGTAGCTAGGAGTAGATTTTACATGCCCAAAATTGCTGCCTAGAGGCGTTGTACTGACTTTCTTTGAAGGGACTTTGATAAAACCTGCTAGAAGCTCGTATAACACCCAGCAACCACAAAGCAATGTGCTAAAAACACTCAGAACACCTTAGAAACCACAAGCAAGCACCAATTAAGTAGGTGACCACTAAAGGATAGTTTAGAAACCTAGTGCAGTCTCTTGAGTCTTCAACTCTTTCTTCTTCTTTAGCCTGAAAACCTGTTGGTGGACCTCCACGCGCCGGCGCCCTGCGTGAAGCTCTCAGATCTGGGCGATGCTGTACATGTTTCGGGTCACCGCTATGTGCATCTCCTCCTGGGGAACCCTGAATTTGCCGCTCCAGAGCTCATCCAGGGCACCCCGGTGTCCCTGTCCACAGACGTGTGGAGTGTAGGGGTGCTGGCCTACGTCATGCTCAGCGGAGTCTCCCCGTTCCTGGACGAGAGTCTGGAGGAGACCTGCGTCAACATCTGCAGGCTGGACTTCTGCTTTCCTGAGGAGTACTTCAGTGGCGTTAGCCAGGCCGCCAAAGACTTCATTGTGTCCACGCTTCACCAGGATCCCAGGAAGAGGCCGAGCTCAGCTACATGTCTGCAGCACCCGTGGGTCAGCGCTCATAGTGGAGATTACTCCAAAACACCGCTGGACACTGTCAGACTCGCTGCGTTTATAGACCGCCGCAAACAGCTGCATGATGTCAGACCTGTCACAAACGTTAAAGGACTGGTCAGCAGCAGTATGGGACACACCTTATGAGAGGAGAACATGGGCTGGAGGAAAGAGATTCTAGCATGTTACATGCTGTACTTCAACATTAGATGTCATTTACATTATATCATTTCATTGGGAATGTGCACTTACTGTACGCAGTGTTTCCTGCAGCGTTTCTTGGCCTGCTCCGTTATGACTTGTTGCCCAGGGAGTTCAACACTTTTGAGACCTTTAGTGATTAATAGATTGAGAAACTACAAGTAGACAGGAATTGTGGGAATCGCAGAGTTAGGAGTAGTAACACCAGTGAATGTCATATTAAGGCTTAGGGTGATGTGTTTTGGAACTTTAAGAGTCCTAAACAGACCAGTAGGTGGGTGTTGTTGTATGTTCAGTTGTATTGAGGGCTTTTACAGGAAAACTTTAACCAAAAACAACAATTCTGCCATCACTTACTAGTGCTGTTCCAGACTCGTAAGGTGTGCTAAAACAAAAAGAGATTTGTTTGACAAATGTACATGCTGCTCTTTTCCATTCAGTGAAAGTAAATCGAAAAAGCTCTCAAATCTCATTTGTGTTCACATATATTCAAATATGGCACATCAGGTTTCATATCTATAATGCTGGATGACTTTGGTTGTCTCATTTCTCATAACCAATTTGCATATGTGGAAGTTCAAATGTTATTTTAGAGCTCCAGTGGGAAGATATAGAACATTCAATTCCTCAATTAAATGATTCGTTTAGCTCGGTATATATCAGTACTCATTCGATTTCAAATTCAAATACGGGTGTGGAGCAACATGAGAGTAAATAAATGATGGTTGACGATTGGATGTGAAAAGAAATTTAGTTATCCATCATCTTAGAGCAGATATATTTTTCACAGATTCATTAATTGAAAGAATGTAGAATATTTGACAGGTAAGAATTATTGTACAAATACCTGCATGTAGAAATAACTGACCATCCACCATTTAACCTGGAATGTATTCAGTTTTCATATTATGGGATCATGAGTGTCATAATTGATGTCATTAGGCATAACGAGGTCTAAAAACGGAGAGTGTTATTTTCTTGTTTGTCTGAGTTTAATAACTGAAATTACAACAATTTGCCGACTACCGTTATTACGTTATAACATTCAAAAGTCTGTGATTGATACAATTTTTTAAATGTTTACAACAGGTCCCTTTGAGGTCTCTTTTGCTCACCAAGGCTGCGTTTATATAAAAAATACGGTAGCACTTTATTTTACAGTCCTGTTTCTCATTTACATACTGTACCATGTACTTATTATAGTAATTACAATAACTAGGTAATGACTAGGTACTAACCCTGAACCTAACCCTACCCCATGTAGTTACCTTATATTACCAGTACTTTCTTAGGTACAGTAAATGCACTGTAGGTACACTGTAGGTACACTGTAAGTACTTGTACTGTAAAATAAAGTGCAACCAAAAATACAGTAAAAACAAATATTGTGAAATATTATTACAGTTCATAATAACGGTTTTCTCTTTTAATATATTTTAAAATGTAATTTTCATCAGCCATTTCTCCAGTATTTAATGTCACATTATCCTTCAGAAATCATTCTAATATGCTGATTTGGTGCACAAGAAACATTTCTTCTTATTAGCAATGATGAAAACGGTTGTACTTTTTTTCCCCCAAGCCTCTAATTTACTGCATCCCTGTTGAATAAAAGTATTAATTTATTTAAAAGAAAGAAGAAGAAAAAAAAAACCTCCAACTCAAACAAACTTTTGAATGGTAATAATATTTATTTATTTATTTATTTAAATAGCCACACAGTGTCCAGGAAGAAACCCCAAAAGCCTTAAACCCAATTTCTTGTTTAATTTATTATTTTTTAAACACATTTATGTATTGTAGGAATGTTCAGGTATTTCATGTGTTATACATTTATGTTTGACTATATAATTGCTCTGTATGTTGTATGTGCAGTCAGAGGTGTAATATGTCAAATTGTTACAGCAGCCATATATGGGCTTTGACAGGCCAGACGCACATAGTTCATAATCGCTTTCAATTGATCATGTGACCATATCAGTGAATACACTCTAAATACACACATTTACCATCAATACAAAAAAAGGAAGCCTAATAGACAGGTTTAGTGATGGCCAGTGAATTATCACACAGAAGTGTACTATTTCTATTATGCTATACTGTATTATACTTGACAACACAGCATGACACTCCTGTGAATACTGCATTGGGACAATCGTCACCTCTCATGTTTAACCTCCCCATCTCCTGCTGTATAAAGCTTCTGCTCTGCATTAATAACCTCTGTAATATCTGGGCCTAGTTTCATATCAGCACATCTAAAACTACCAACATAAAAATAACCCAAACGTGATTCAATTTCTGTTTTAACAGTAGCTGTCACCCAAACTAGTTCCTTTGAAAAAGCATCTCAGGAGACCTCTGAAGAATAAAGACAGATCCGCTCTTTACATCTCTACTTCACGCATATACCCCTGCAATAGCACTGTATAGAAGCCTGTGTGTAATATTTGCTAACAAAAGCGGAAATATTGTTTTTCTTGATTCATATGGGCTGTTTGTTACTGAATGTTTAATAAACTGTGCTTTGTTTTTAGAAAAAAAACTTTGTCGAGATTTCCATGATGATGTTTCTCTAGAGGTGGTTTTATAAATGTTAGGACAAGTCAGGAAGATTATTAACAAAGCAGTCTTTTGTTGTAGATATGATGGTTCTACCATATTTGTAACAAGGAGATACATTTGCAGCTTTAGCTATATGGAGTATACATGAGATTAGATGATGATCTGAGACATCATCACTCTGCTGCAGAATTTAAACGCTATTAATATTAATTCCACGTGATAGTATTAAATCTAAAGTATGATTACAACAATGAGTAGGCCCTGACGCGTGTTGTCTAACCCCAATGTAGTTCAGAATGTCTATAAATACTGATCCCAATGCATCTTTTCCATTATCAACATGGATATTAAAATCACCAACAATTAAGACTTTATTTGCAGCCAGCACTAGCTCAGATAGAAAATCAGCAAATTTTTTGATAAAGTCTGTATGGTGCCCTGGCGGCCTGTAGTAGCCAGTACAAACGTCACAGGGGATTTATCATTAACACTTGTTTCTCTGGATAATGTTATTTGAATCACCATTACTTCAAACAATTTATACTTGAAACCAGAGCGCTGAGAAATACTGAAAATATTACTATAAATTGTAGCAACACCTCCCCATTTACCTTTTGGACGCGGCTTATGTTTATAACAGTAATCTTGGGGGGTAGACTCATTTTAAATAATGTAATCATCTGGTTTTAGCAAATTTCTGTCAAACAGAGCACATCTAAGTTATGATCTGTGATCATTTCATTTACAAAATGCGCTTTTGTAGAAAGGGATCTAATATAGAAAGGGCAGTCGTTGCCTAATGGTTAGAGCAGTGGTTCCCAACCCTGGTCCTGGAGGCACCCCAACACTGCACATTTTGCATGTCTCCTTTCTCTGACGCACCAATTTCAGGTCCAACCCTAATTAAAACTCACCTGCCTGTAGCTTCCTAATAACCCTTCAGACCTTGATTAGCTTGTTCAGGTGTGTTTGATTAGGGTCGAAGCAAAACTCTGCAGGGCTGTGGCTCTCCAGGACCGACGTTCGCCACCCCTGTCTTGGAGTCTCTACTAATGAGCTGATGACCTGAATCAGGTTTGATTGATTAAGTAGACATGCAAAACGTGCAGTGTTGGGGTGCCTCCAGGACCAGGGTTGGGAACCACTGGGTTAGAGAGTCGGACTTGTAACCCGAAGGTTGCAGGTTCGAGTCTCAGGTCCGGCAGGAATTGTAGGTGGGGGGAGTGAATGTACAGCGCTCTCTCCCACCCTCAACTGACTCAACTGACAAGGTTCTCTCTCTCTTTTTAAACAGCGCATCTTTCAGAAAAAAAAACTAACTCTAAACACAGAAAAACATCAATATGAAAATTACTTCAAGACTGGTATTTAAATGATATAGGTTGGGTTACTCAGTGTTTGACATCAACTATTGAGTCCAGATTTTTGAAGTACTACTTCTAACGGTCTGTTTCTCCGATTTGGGTATCTTGGTGATGTCACAATTTGTGGAAGATCATTACTATGCTCACATGGCACAACGTTCTGAGGAAGGAATCTCTTATACTTATATATACTTATATAAAAGACTTATACTGTCTTTTTACGCGTTGCGTTGCATCGCGCCGCATAAACATAAAACAATGTCTGCATTTGTGATCGGAGAAATGACAAACAACAAGCGCTACTCTACACTGCTCAAAACTCGCGTTTGAATCATCAGTGGCAAATTCTTTAAATATAAAAAACCGTACTTACAGTCTGTGAGTCAGAACAGCCGGCATTGTAGTCTACTCTTCCAGGATCAGGAAACAGTCCTCCATAAAATGTGCTGCACACATCTGAATATTTGGGTTGAAGTGTTCTGGAACAGTGTTGTAAATACTTAACCACTGATTTCTACGTTACAGCAGGTAGCTGCGGGTTATATACAGGGAGGCGAGACTCCCTGATCGCTGCAGCGATTGGTCTGCCGTGATTGGCAGACGTGGTGTCATTGGTGCTTCCGCAGTCGGTCACGCCTGGGGCGTTCCCATAGTGAGATACCTCACGTCATGTTATCGGAGAACCGGGGTTACGTTAGTAACGTTATTTTTTATAAAAATAAGGGACAAATGATTTAGCACTTGCATTAAGACATTAAGTGTTTTCTTTTTTTTTTTCTGTGAATATGAGTGTATTCCATTCGGACACTCCAATGTACTGACTGACACACTCTGGGATTTCAAAACTCAGTTTATCAATTTGAACCTCAAATCAAGTTGTTCTTTCTTTTCTAGAGCTGATCTTTCAGTTTATGCTTGTCCTTTATAAAAATAAAAATAAATAGTTGTGCCATTAATGCAGTTATGTCAGCCTCAGCTTTAAGACAGATGGAAGATGATGATACACAATTGCACTTGTGAGACATTTTCTTTTCTGTTCAGAAGACCTTTTATTTCTGGTATAAGTTTTTTTTATTTATTTCATTAATATTTGTTTTTTGAAGCCTTTCAATTTTATTCACCAGAGTCTTTGCAGTGAATGTAGTTTCTCTTTTACCACACTACATGGCAAAGCCAGCAGTGTAGTCATCATTTGCATCACTCATCAAATCCTCCAGCAAAACATCACAACGAGACATACATCATCAAGCTCCATAAACATTCTTAAGTTATATATTCTCCACAAAACAACAAAGTTATTTTTATATTTTAAAAATCTTACATTCTTATATTTTAAGACCATCAACAACAAACTTATTTTTACCAACAGCAGGAGCCCATTCTTCGTACGTGGATTTCTCAATTAACGGAATTTTACTGTTGCCGATTTGACATGATCCAGTATTGTTCTGCAAAGATCATCCCAGATTTACTGTCAGCTAAAGGACCGTAAACTCAAACCTGCTCAGCAACAACCTTTTTTCACGCAAACAAGATTAGATTATTTTTTAAGCGGGGGTGACTGAAAATGATTCATTCAGTCATTTTTCACCATGTCATAAGCAATGGATAGTTGGATAGTTAATAGTATTTCTCACTACGTGAACATGACTGAAATTAAATATTTTCGTTACCTTTATCTTTTGTGTGCGTGTGTGTGTGTGTGTGTAGCTCTCATGAATATGTGAAGCATGCAGTCTGCTTTGAGTAATTTCCTCTTGACATAAAAGTTATGGCACAATTAATTACTTTTTTCCATTACTGCCACCCACAGGACAAACTGCGCATTGCACCCAAAATTGTTTGGTCTTGTTAGTTAAAGGGTTAGTTCACCCAAAAATTAAAATTAGCCCATAAATTACTCACCCTCAAGTCATCCTAGGTGTATATGACTTTCTTCTTTCAGACGAATCCAGTCGGAGTTATATTAAAAATAGTCTTTGATCTTTCAAGCTGTTTCATGGCACTCAGCGGGTATTGCATGAATCAGTACAAAAGCAGTTAAATAAAATGCGCCCATCCATAAAAAAAAAAAGTGTC